ACCAATGAACAGCTACCAAAAGAAAAGAATGTCCACACCTTTATCTCAGTGGTTCTGCCAGGTGTCTGTGGCCGCTCTAATCCTTCCCCCACGTGGTCTCACCCAAGATGGCGGCTCCTGGAGCAGCTGAGTGTCCTGGACTGGAAAGCAATAGATTTCTTGCTTCTGCCACAAATTCCCCCAGCTATGAGACTTCCAACCTTCTAAATATTCCTTTATATGTGGTTCAAAGTTCTGGGACTGTCCCCTGAGCCTACTTGGTCAGGTATTCTGTGTTGTTGTTGGCGGAGCTCCTTTATTGCACGTCTACCCGATTCTCCATCTTGTTTGTTCTCTTGATCATTTCTTTTTAATACTGTGACTCTGTACATATCTTCTAACTTCTTTTGATGCTTTATGCATCATTCAATATTTGCCCATTGTTGTTCTTGTTGTTAAGTGCTGTCAAGTCAGTTCCGACTCACAGCGACCCTGTACAAGGTTTCTGAGGAGCAAATGCTGAGTTTGAACTGACTTGGCAATCTAGTGCATAAACCCACAGTGCCACACCAAGACTCCATTTTGCCCACAGAATCCTTCAATATTGCAAGTTGAGGCTTGAATTTTTTCTTTAGTTCTTTCAGCTTGAGAAATGCTACGTGTGTTCTTCCTTTGGTTTTCTAACTCCAGGTCTTTGCACATTTTATCATAATACTTTGTCTTCTTGAGCTGCCCTTTGGAATTTTCTGTTCAGCTCTTTGATTTCCTCATTTCTTCCACTTACTTTAGTTTCTCTATGCTCAAGAGCAAGGTCAGGGTCTCTTGTTGTTGTTATGTGCCATGGAGTCGGTTCCGACTCATAGAAACCCTGTACAAGGTTTCCGAGGCTGTAAATCTTTACAGGAGCAGAAAGTGTAATCTTTCTCCTGTGGAACAACTGGTAGTTTCATACTGCTGACCATGAGGTTTGTAGCCCGATTAGGACATCCATTTTTGTTATTCCTGTCTTCTTTAACTGATCTTTTTCTTTTTCCCTGTATAATGTTCTTGATGTTATCCCACAACTCTCTAGTCTTCAGTCATTAGTGCATAATGCATTAAATCTGTTCTTGAGATGGTCTCTAAATTCAGGTGGTATATGTTGTTGTTAAGTGCCACGGAGTGAGTTTTGACTCATAGCAACCATCGGTAAGGGTTCCGATTAGTGCTGGTGAGTTTGAACCGCCCACCTTGCGGTTAGCAGTCCAGTGCTTATCCTACAGTTCTTATCCTTCAGGTGGTATACATTCAAAGTCATTATATAGCTCTCTGGACTTTAAAAAAAAAATGTATTCAACTTCAGCCTGAACATGCATATGAGCAATTAATGGTCTGTTCCACAGTCTGCCCTGGCCTTACTTTGACTGTTGATAGTTAATTTCTTTATCTCACAGATGTAAAGCAATATGGCACTTCCTTATAGAAATACTGTATGATCCAGCAATTCCTCTACTTGGTATTTACCCACAAGAAATACAAGCCATAACACAAGTAGATATATACACACCAATGTTCATAGCAGCACTATTTACAACAGCAAAAAGATGGAGACAGCCTAAGTGCCCATCAGCTGAAGAATGGATAAACAAACTGTGGTACATACACACAATGGAATATTACACTGCCTTGAAGAATAACAAGGAAGCTGCAAGCCACTGCATAACATGGATGAACCTTGAGGACATTATGTTGAGTGAAATTAGTCAATCACAAAAGGAGAAATACTGCATAGGACCACTAATGTAAAAGACTAAGAAAAAGAACCCATACTAAAAGTGGGGGTGGTAGTAGTGGTGGATACTTTGCTGGTTACTGGGATGTGGGAGATGGGG